TCGTAGGCATCTCCTCTAAGCACTGACTCTTCCTGGCCCTTACAGCAGCCATCTGACTCCAGGTCCCACCAATCCCCTCTTTTATAACACCGTTCTAACAGGCTACAGGTGTGGCCTGTTAACATCAGGCCTGCTCCTAATCTTCAGTAATTGCTTCAGCTGCAACTCTTTAGGGGATAAGATTACATTCTATACCATCTTCATTTACCCATCCTGTATCCCCCTACACAAACCACTCCCCTTGTCAGAAGAAAGCAGAAGCAAAAGCCCAAGCGCACCACAAACCTTTGCCAGGAAAGCCCAAGCACACCACAAAGCTTTGCCAGGACAGCAGAGACCCGCTGAGCCTCTCCAGATGGATGGCTCCAGGGGGCTCCTACAATTCCATATCCCCTTCTTTAGGACCTGCCCATCCTGCTGCCCACGAGAGGACCTGTCCCTTGCACCCCGTGTCCCAGGCTGGCCTCCCAGAACCAGCCAAGTCCCTGCTGGAAGGAATTCTGCTTCCAGCATCCTGCGGGGACCAGGCTGGGAATGCTCACTCCTGCACTCTCTGTGCCAAGCCTCAGCTGTCCCTCCTGAAAGGAACATTCTTTAATTAATATTAATTCTCTGCATCGGGTCAGACCTTCTCCAGTTTTTCTGCTCCCTCCTGGAGCACCTTCCCTGCCCATCCCAAGTCCAGAGTGAGGAGATTGTGCAGGCAGAGCTACTGGGTGTTCCCGAGTGCTGGTGTGGCCCTAATGGATTGGTGACACTCTTACATCCATGGGTATTTCAGGAGGAAGGAAAAGGCTACTGCATGTTCATACGTTCTTGTTGTATTATTTAAGAGAAGCCATTTGAGAGCACAGGAGAAGCAGTGTCTGCTCCCAAAAGGAGGGAAAATAATGGAGGGGAATATTTGCAAAAAGCTCAGTTAAGTAAATATTTTATGCCAAATAACGTTATGGCTTTTGAATGATGCATGCAGGAGAGTTGAAAGGAGGTGAGGCACGGAGCACGTGGTGAGCGTGGAGGTGTCGGGGAGGGAAGAACACAGTGCCTGCCTTGGGCAGGGCCTCTCACCCTGCAGGGCTGTGCCACTGGCAGGAACTGCACGGGAGCAGGGCACAGAACGGGCAGAGGCACTGCCCCGGCCCGGGAGGAAGAGGCAGCAGCGAGAGCAGGAGGAAGGGCAGCCAGGGGGAGGAGAGCGGGGCCAGGGGCGCTCAGGGCAGAGGGATTCTCCTCCCGGCAGGAGCAGGGCGAGCAGCTGGCACGAGGCAAGCACTGAGAGGAGTAAAACACCACCAAGTGTAATAAGAAATGGAGTTAATCAATGGCTCTGCAGCTGGGATCAATGGGAGGCAGACACAGCCATTAGCTGGGGAAGCTGAGCAGAGCCGGGGGGAGCGGCCGATGCCGGGATAACCAAGTGCAGAGGGAGGGTCCAGGGGAGAGCAGAGCTGGGCTGCAGCCACAGGGCTGAGTCTGCTCTGCTGCACAGGGCACAGGGAGGGTCCCAGGGACAGAGCAGAGCCAGGCTGCAGCCACAGGGCTGGCCCTGCTGTGCTGCGCAGGGCTCAGACCCCAGCGAGGAGCAGGAGGAGCAGCCCTGGCAATCACCACGAGCATCCAGCAGCAGTGAGCAGGGAATGGGACCCGACCCCCTGATCATCACCCAGGGACGGTCCCTGGCTGCAGAGAGGAGACAGAGTCTTCCTCCCTGTTCTCTTGATTTTGTGTCTCTCCTCACCCTGAGTGCTGGCCAGCTCACTTCCCAAGGAGCCCGGCATGGAGAGGGGATGGAGCGGGGATGGAGGAGGGGATGGAGAGGGGATAAAGCCGGGATAGAGCCTGTGTCCGGAGCAGCAGGAGGGCCAGGAACACCTCCAGGGATCAGGGGTGATATCACACCCCAATGGGAGAAAGGATCCCCCCTTTATCCCCTCTCCATCCCCGATCCATCCCGGTTCCATCCCCGCTCCATCCCCGCTCCATCCCCGCTCCATCCCCGCTCCATCCCGGTTCCATCCCGTCTCCATCCCCGCTCCATCCCCGCTCCATCCCCGCTCCATCCCGGTTCCATCCCGGCCCCGCCGCTCCCGGGACTCTCGGGCCTCTCCCGCCCCCGCCGCGGCCCCGCAGCGCCCCCTGCTGGCCCGGCTCGCCCACGCTGGGGGTTCGGGGATCACCCCCCGGTCCCCCCCGGTCCCCCCCGGGTCCCCCCGGTCTCTCCCAGCCCCCCCGGCCCGCAGCAGGTTCCTCGCCGAGTGCCGCGGGCGCTGTCCGACCCTCCACTGCAGGGGCTGAGGGTTGGGGGCCATTTCGGGGCTCATTTCGGGGTCTCTTCAGTCACCCCCACGCTGGAGGGCGAGCCCAGCCCCGCGGACACCCCACAGCTCCCACACGGGCACCAAGGCAGCACGCAGGGGTAGGACTCAAACTCCTGCCTGGGGGTACCGGCAGCCAGCTCCTGCCCGAAGAACCCCCACAGCACTCAAAGCTTCCTTTCCCACCTCCTTCCTCTCTTCCAGCCCTTCCAAGCAGCTCGGCTGGAGCACCTTCCTCCCTCCATCTGCTTCAGGGCTCGGGCCAAGTCCAGGGCTGCTCCCGCTTCCATCCAAGCCCCTGGCAGTGCTGCCCTGCTCCCTGGTGCACACCCATCACACCACGCACCTGCCCAGGTGCACCCCGTCCCCAACAGCTCCACACACCCCCCAGCGTCACCCCAGAGCCCCACAGCCCTGCTCCTGGGGCAGCTTTAGGCTGGAGCAGAGGTTTTAGTGACACTGATCCTTAGCTGATCCCTCCTTGGTGCTCAGCGGCCGCTTGCTCCAGCACTGCCCGTGCGTCCATGTGCCATAGGGAGCTGCAGGTTTGCCCTGGATCACTCCTTCCAAAGGCTGGAAACAGGCTGGGACACCAAGCAGGACAGTTCCACTGGGCTCGTGTTCTCTGTTTTTAGCCCCTTCCTGAACCTCCACAGAGCTAGCTGTGCATGAGTGCAGGATGGGCAGTGCCAGCCCCAGCAGGGACAGGGCTGGCAGCTTGTGGTGCCCCTGGAGCTCCCTGCCTGCTCTCAGCACGTTTCCAAGGATGCAGGATTGGTGCTCCAGAGGATGCTGAGCCGGGCCCAGAGCAGCCAGGGCCCCCTGGGCACATCCACACACGGAACCAGAGCCTGGGGCGTTGTTAGTGCAAAATCAGCCCTTTAGCTCGCAGTGTCCCCAGGCAGGGTGGCCAAAGGTGATGTTCTTTATCTGTGCCTCGTGCTCCTCAGATACCGATATCAAAATGTGCCGTGAAACACTCCTGACATCCAATATTCCTCAGAGACTGGAGCAGTGCTTCCCCTCACTCATCCCTTCCCTCCCGGAGGAGCCGATGGACACGATACCTTATCAGCGCCTTCCCGCGCTGTTAGCAGGGCCACAGGGACTGCTGACCCTCCTCAGAACTGCACAGAGAATATTTAGGGCTTTCCCTGAGCTTGGCAAGCGATAACATCTTTATCGTGAGCCCTTTAAACCCTCGGGGCTGCCAGGAGGCTCTGTCCTCTCTGAAGGACAACATCGAGCCCAGGGCAGCACACGCAGATAAAAAACTGTTCCTTGAGTAAACATCAGTGCTGGGCTGGCAGAGAAGGTGCTGGGCTGAGGGAGCGGAGTGTGGGGTGGCACACACCAGTGCTGGGGTGTCCTTAGCCCAGTGCTAGCAGGAGGGCTGGCTCGGGGCTGGGGGCTCAGGGCTGGGGCTCAGGGCAGGGGGCTCAGGGCAGGACCCACCCCAGCATTTCCACTGCAAATGCCCAAAGCTGCACCCCCAGCTGGTGTCAGCCCTGACGTCCCTGCTGGGATCCCCTGGACCTCTCTCGGTGTCCTTGCAGGGTTGTCCCATGTCACACCCACTCTGGAAGAGACCCCAAAGCCCCCTGACAAATCAGTCCAGGCGGGAATACTTGAGAAGCTCAGGACTACAAAGAGGCTTCATTCCACCCAGGAAGAACAAACCCATGTGCCTAAGAAGAACAAACAAATTCCATCCAGGAAGAACAAACTCATCTACCCAGCTCAGTTTTACGGAGAAACATCAAAGAATGATCCCAGGCAGGGTGGGGAAAACCAGGTGGAGACAGCTCTGCTTGGTGAGGAGAGGGTGGCAGGCACTTAGGAAGCAAAGCACCGAGGAATAAATCTGCAAGCTGAGCAGAGGAAGATCAGCAAAGACATAAAGGTTGTGAGTTCAGAGCCCAGGGAACCAAGGCAACCTCTGTTACATAACTCTCCAAAAGCCTTAAACTCAGTTTTTCTGAGAAACGAGTCGTCAGCAATGATTAAACCGCAGAGAAGCCATAAAGCAGCAGAGATTGATACGATGGGATGCTGATACAGCGAAGCTCAGCAGCGCACGAGAGGATGAGGGTCACCCGTGGGGAGCAGCGGAGCACAGAGGGACACGGGGGCTTCAGAGCTGGGCTCACCCTCAGGAGCCTCCCCGGGGGTTGGGGCACGGTCAGGATCCAAGGAAGAGCCTCCCTGTCCACTGAGCACCTCAACAAAGCCACACTGGAAAACCCTGGGTAAATCCAAGCCCCTCCCTGAGCCTCTGAGCCTCATCTCAGGGTGGACAAGGTGTCCTAGGGTGTGAGTTTCCTTCTGAGGCTGAGCTGCTGAGCACAGAGCAGGGCACTGAGAGCCAGGACTGGGACAGGACACCACGGTGGGCTGAGAGGGGCTGTGGAGGCAGGATCCCAAACTCCCACCACACCAGGAACCTCCCTGCTCACACACACCACAACAGCACTGAGGGAAGGTGCAGATTTGCTGCTTGACCCAGAAAGAACTTTAAGATAATCTACTGCAGAAAAACAAGAGACACTTGTCCTGATAGCAACTGCTGGCTGAAGCCACACACCCGATCAGCAACGGCAAGATTAGATAAGGACCGAACTTAGTCCCACCGCGCAGGTATTAATGCGAGCTCTCCGGACACCTGCGCAGCTCCAGCTCAAGGCAATGAAGATGCTGCTGTCCCTGGGGCTGCTCTTTGCCGCCCTGTCCCTGGGGAGCTGCGTGCCCCTGCAGCAAACTGCGTCCAACCGCAGCAAGCTGCTCCTGGTGTCCTTCGACGGCTTCCGCTGGAACTACGACCAGGACGTGGACACCCCCAACCTGGACGCCATGGCTGCAGAGGGGGTGAAGGCCAAGTACATGACCCCTGCCTTCGTCACCCTCACCAGCCCCTGCCACTTCACGCTGCTGACCGGTGAGTGCCCGGCATGGCAGGGGCAGGGGCTGGGCAGGACAGAGGGCAGGAGGGACCCAGAACATCCAGAGCCACTGGGGCTGGGCCAGGGCAGGGGCAGGGCTCAGGGCCAGGGAAGAATTGAGGTCAGGAGGGATCCAGAACATCCAGCAGCACACAGAGCTTCAGAGCAGACCAGGCAAGACATGCAGAAGTGGTAGATTTAAACTAGACACAAAGAAATTCTTCCCTGTGAGGGTGGTGAGGCACAGATTTCCCCATCTCTGGAAATGTCCAAGGCCAGGTTGGGTTGGACAGGGCTTGGAGTCAGCCTGGTCCGGTGGAAGGTGTCCCTGCCCGTGGCACAGAGGTGGAATGGGATGGTTTTTAAGGTCCCTCCCAACTCAAACTCCTCTGGGATTCCATGAACCGAACCTGTACTTATCAAAGGTAAATAGCACCAGGCCAACTCGATAGCCTCCTTTGATAAGATAAATTATTTTTTAAACAAGGGAGATGCTCTAAATTTAATCTTTCTGAACTTCAGTAGTGCATTTGATACAGTGCCACATGGGAAATCATTAGTTAAGATGGAGAAGATGAAGATTAGTACAAAATCTGTAATGTGGGGAAGTGAGAGGCTACGGGAGGAGGACAGAGTGGATGCTGAGAGGAGATTGTCAAGCTGGAGGGAGGGCACCAGGGGAATTCCTGAAGAATCGATTTTGGAGCCAATCTTATTTAAGATTTTAATTAATAACCTTGGCATAAAAGAGTGGAGCATGCTAATGAAATCTGCTGATGGGCAAAAGCAGGGAGGCAGCGTCAATACGAGGGAGGATGGGGATAGCTTGCAGAAGGGACTCTTCGGGACCAGAATAATAAAAATAGCACAAAATGTGAGAGTCGAAGTGCATCTCTCCCTTCCAATGGAAACTTCTGCTCACCGACCTCGCAGACTGTGACCAACAGTGAAAGTGAAACACCTTGAGTTAGGTACACCCAGATAACAGTGAAACATGGGATTAGAGACACTGAGATAACAGTGAAACACCATGGGATTAGGTACACCCAGATAACAGTGAAATATGGGATTAGATACACCCAGATGACAGTGACACACCATGGGATTAGCTACACCCAGATAACAGTGAAACATGGGATTAGATACACCCAGATAACAGGAACCTGCCCGTGCCCAGAGGGCAGCAACAGCTGCAGAGGGTGCCAATAGCTGGCTGGGCCCAGGCGAGACCCACCAGGCATCAACCAGCGCACACGGGAGCAGCACGGCCCCAGCAGCTCCCTGCCTGCCCCAGGACTCACCTGGTACAGGGCACGGGTAGGAAGGGGAGGCCAGAGGTCCCCTCTGCCCTACACCCAGCACGGCCTGGCTCACCCCCGCTCCCACCTCTCCCACAGGGCGGTACCTGGAGAACCACGGGGTGATCCACAACATGTGGTTCGACACCAAAACTGGCGTGAGGCTGCCCTACTACACCACGCAAGGCATAAGCAGCTGGTGGGACAACGGCAGCCTGCCCATCTGGATCACTGCCCAGAGACAGGCAAGTGTGGCACCTCCTCACACACACAGACCCCGCACAGACCCACCCAGCCTGCCATCCCCCAGGAAAAGCTACAGGCAAGCCACGATCCCAGGTGGCCGTGAGATCCCAGCCTCCCTCCGAACGTCGGGCTAATTAGACCAGCAAAAAAACTGAAATCCCCAGACTCCGGCAGGAATAATTATGATCATTCTGCTAAAAATAGCAAAAAATAATAGATGCATTTCAGCTTTATTAAGACGTTAATAAAGCAGGTTATCCTGCTCCTGTTTAAAGAAGCCTCAGCCAGTTCCTCAGGGAGCACCCTGAGCCTGGGAGCCCCACACAGCCCGAGGCACATCCAGGGTGGTGGCAGCGATAGGGACCGCTCCCCTGGGAGCTGCAGCAAGCCCTGCAGGCTTCCCTCTAGCTTTGAGGCAGGACACGAAACCCAGCCCAAGACCTTTGGCTGCTCTGGCTTCAATAAAACACACCTCAATGTCGTGATGGTCAAGAGGCAGAGGGCCCATGCAAGGTGCAAATGGGTCACTGGTTCCGAAGTTTTATCTGGTGTTAAAACACAGTGAAGGATCCAGGTGCAAGGGCAGCGCTTTCAATTAATCACTTTTAATTGGCAATGAGCAAGAAAACCTCATTAGAAGAAGAGGCAGGCATTGGGGACTGAATGAACTAATCGTGCTAGGAGGTGGCTGCACTGACAGATGGAAGGATGCTGCCGAGAGAGTTCAGGTGAGTTTATGGAATGCCTCCACTCACAGGGTTTGAAGACAGGCTCCATCCACTTCCCCGGAACCAAGGCGAAATACCAAAAGGAAGAAGTGTACAAGAAGTTGGTGGAACCTGCGTTGTTCAACTACAGCAACGAAACCAACTGGAGGCAGAGCATCGACACCGTCATGGAGTGGTTCATGGTGGACAACCTGGACTTCATCACGCTCTACTTCGGGGAGCCAGACTCCTCAGGACACAAGTATGGCCCTGAATCCACACAGAGGAAAAACATGATCAAGCAGGTGGACAGAACCGTGGGTTACTTGAGGCAGCGCATCCGGGAGAGCGGCCTGGAGTCCAACCTGAACCTCATCATCACGTCCGACCACGGCATGGAGACCGTGGTGAAAACCGACGAGATCTACCTCCGCACCGTCACCAACTTCACCTTCAAGGACCTCGACTTCGAGCTCCTCGATTATGGACCAAGCGGGCTCCTGGTGCCCAAGGAAGGGAAACTGGAGCAAGTGTACTCAGCCCTGAAGAACGCCCACCCGAAGCTGCACGTTTACAAGAAGGAAGAGTTTCCCAAGAGGTTCCACTACGCCAACCATCCCCGCATCACCCCACTTGTGCTGTACAGTGACCCAGGCTACGTGATCCACGGGGTAAGTGTATGCTCAGGCACATCCTACTGTCCTTTGGGATGTGCCTCTCGCTCCTCCCCTCCCACAGCACCCACCCAGCTTTAGGCCCTTGCGCTAACTGGTCTCCATACACAGAGATATCAATTCCAGCTCTTTGTGTAAAGATCTTCTCTGCTGTTGGGAAGAGAAAGTATCCAGAAACCTTGGAGTAGGAATTGCATGAATGCAGAATATCCACTGCAGGATCCTCTCCTAGCCTGACTAAAGGGGAGGCCCAGCATCAAGGCCAGCAGGCAGCTTCCCACTGGAAGCTCCTCAGTACAACAAAATTTGGCTGTGCCAACATTTAGGGAGGGAACTTGCAGGATGTAATTGGTTGAGAGTGGCTGGAGGCACCTCCAGTTTAACACCAACAGATCAGCTCCCAAAACTGAAAGGAGCCGACCAGACCATCAAACCCTGGAGCTGCAGAACGCAGCACAGGAGGTGGGAGAGGTGGGGTGTGGGGGGCAGCAGGGCTGGGGTGCTCACGTTCCTGCTCTCCCCTGCAGAGGTACAAGGTCCAGTTCAACAAAGGAGAGCACGGCTTTGACAACCAGGCCATGAACATGAAAACCATCTTCCGTGCCGTGGGGCCGGCCTTCAAGAAGGGGCTGGAGGTGGAGCCCTTCGAAAGCGTCAATGTCTACGCCCTCCTCTGCGAGCTGCTGGGCATCACCCCCGAGCCCCACGACGGCTCCCTGGAGGTCACCAAGCCCATGCTGAGGGAACCCACCGACGGTGACGGTGGCAACGGCAATGGCAATGGCAATGGGAACGGCGACGGCAACGGGAACGGCGACGGCAACGGGAACGGCAATGGCGACGGCAATGGCAATGGCGACGGCAATGGCAATGGTGACGGCGATGGCAATGGCAATGGGAACGGCGACAGCAATGGCAATGGCGACGGCAATGGCGATGGCGACGGTGACGGCAATGGTGACGGCAACGGCAATGGCAATGGCAATGACAACGGCAGCAATGGTGAGCAGCATGTGTCATGGGGGACAGTGGGAGGGCAGCAGGCAGCGGCAGCGACAGTGGGCACCAGGAACAGCAACAGGCACCAGAAGTGGCAATGGGCACCGGGGGCAGCAATGGACACCGGGAGCACACCGGGAGCTCACGGGGAGGGCACCGGGAGCGGCTCCGGGCACCGGGCGCGCTCCGCTCCGCCGGGATTCCCGCGGGAACAGCGCCACCTGGCGGCCCCCGCCACCCCCGGCGGCTCGGGGCACCGGGCCGCGCCCCCCCATCCCCGCCGCTCGGTAACCGGGCAGGGCTCACCGTGGCACCGGGGCGGAGCTGCTCCCGGCCGGGCGGAGGGAGGCGCGGAAGGGGCGGCAGGAGGTGACGGTCACCCGTCACCGGCGGGCACCGGCCCCGGGGCAGGGCTGGCACTCACCGCCCTCTCGGCACGGCAGGTTCGGGCGCTCTCCATCCCGCCGAGAAGCTGCCGCTGCTGCTGGGCCTCGCTGTGGTTCTGGGATGCTGGGGAGGAGTTTTCTGACCGCCACCAGGTAACCGACCCAAGGACCCCCAGGATGGGGGCAAACACCCGGCAAACCGTGCCCCGTTTGGGCGTGGAACCCCCGGGTTCCCCCGGTCTGTGGAGCCCCCCGAAATCGCTCCCTGCAGGGCACAGCAGGGGCTGCACACCTCACACGGGACTCTGAGTTTTCCTGCCCCAGATCAGCATTGGCACCGCCCAGGGCGTGGGCTGGGCTGAGGAGAAGGGCGGGCACCCTCCTGGACCCTGCCATTGTCCCCTGCCCTGTCCCTCTGTCCTCTGCGTGCAGGCGGGTGTGGACCACGAGCAACGGAGGGTGAATCCTCCGCTGTTTGTGGAATCCTCGGCTGTTCGTGGCTCTGCTCGTGGCTGCCAGACCACAGCTGGTCCCTTTCCCTCACAGCGCAAATTCGGCCAGAGAACCACAGAACGAGTAGCTCCGGATCGATTCCCCGGCACCAGGCGCCTCCAGCCGACTCCTGCAGGCTGCAGAGACCCGGAACGAGCACCAGCGGCGCCGTGCTCTGCTGTCCTGCGGCCCCCGAGCTCCAGGCAACTCTGCCAGAACTCACGGGAAGGACAAGGCTCACAAAGACAACCAGTCCCAGGCTCGGGAACGGGACAGAGTTCCCAAAACCTCCCCAAATTCCTGACCCGCGCTCCTCCAGCATGCCTGAGCCCCCGAGCAGATGCCTCTCCCGGGCCTTGGGGGACAGCAGGATGCTCTGCTGGGGAGGTGGCACCGATCCAGCCTGGCACGGTCACCCTGTGTGCGCATCCCCCCAAATGCGGGGGGCACAGCGGCTCCAGGGTGGGTTTGGAGCAGGGACAGCCGGTACACAACGAGTGTCCACGCTAATTAAATCTGTTCTGAGCGAGCTGGAGCCGCCCCTGAAAGGCGCCAGGTCCCACCCGGCTGGAGCCGCTGAGCCCGGACCTGCCCAGGACACGGAGCGGCCCCGGTGGTCCCCGCTGGCCACGGGCAGGGCTGGCACCGGCACCCAAAGCCTCGCGAGGGTCCCAAAGTCCCTCAGCACTTCCAGCCCCAGGAGCCCTGGGTGTGCTCAGCACCACCCTGCCTGTCCTTCTGTGCCTTGTGGCTGTGGCCAAAACTGGAAACGCCCCCCGTGCCCCCCTGAGCAGCAAAGCTGCAGGCAGGATGGGCCTGGCTGCACTGCTCCGTGGCACAACGGCTGAGACCTGCCCCAAGTGCAGCTCCAGAGGGGCACTGATGTGTTTTGGAGACAGGGAACGTGGCAGTGCCAGGACCCCCAGCTCACAGCACACAGCGCTGTGACTCCTGAGCCAGGGGCTGGCAGGAGTTGTGCCAGGCCCTGGTTGTGCCAGGCTCCTGGTTGTGCCAGGCCCCTGGTTGTGCCACGCTCCTGGTTGTGCCAGGCCCCTGGTTGTGCCAGGCTCCTGGTTGTGCCAGGCTCCTCGTTGTGCCAGGATCCTGGTTGTGCCAGTCCTGGTTGTGCCACGCTCCTGGTTGTGCCAGGCTCCTGGTTGTGCCAGTCCTGGTTGTGCCAGGCTCCTCGTTGTGCCAGGCCTCTGGTTGTGCCACGCTCCTGGTTGTGCCAGGCCCCTGGTGGTGCCAGGCCCTTGGTTGTGCCAGGCCCCTGGTGGTGCCAGGCTCCCAGGAGCTCTCCCCAGCAGGGCTGAGGCAAAGCCCCTGTACAAACCCAAGGCTCTCTGTGCAGGAAGCAGCCCAGGGCCCTCCAGCCAGGCTGGGGTTTTGGGGATGGGGAGCAAGACCCCCCCCCCATCCAGCAGCCCCCTCCAGCCCTGCCAGCGTGGCATTCCAGCACCCCCAGAGCCCTCGCAGATGCTGCGGTGCCTTTCCCCAGCCCTGTGCCTCAGCTCAGGGGCTCGATAAACATCTGTTGCCATAGAGACTCGCTCGCTGCATCGGCTTCACCCAAGGAGATGAAACAAGAGCCGCACCCTCAGAAAAACAGGAAGAAAATGTTTGGCTTGAAACGGTGCTGGGGTGGGGGTCAGGGCAGCGGCAGCAGCAGGGAGGCTCCGAAAGGGGAGCGTGGCCAGCGCTGTGCGCGCCGTGCAGAGCGGGATGAACGACGAGGGTGTGCACAGAAACCTCCCCAGCTCTGCTGCTGCTGGCCTGGGGCTGCCCCTGCAGCTCAGCACTGCCAGGGCAGGGGCAGCCAGCTCTGCTGGTACCCTGGGGATCCTGGCAGAGCCTGCAGGGCTCAGAACCCGCGGGTGCCAGGCTCTGACCGTCCTCGTGCCCAGCAGGTACACAGCAGGATCACAAACCCATAGAATGGCTCAGAACCCTCTGGTGCCAGGCTCTGACCGTCCTCATGGCCAGCAGGTACACAGCAGGATCACAAACCCATAGAATGGCTCAGAACCCTCTGGTGCCAGGCTGTGCAGGGCTCAGAACCCGCGGGTGCCAGGCTCTGACCGTCCTCGTGCCCAGCACGTACACAGCAGGACCACAAACCCATAGAATGGCTCAGAACCCTCTGGTGCCAGGCTGTGCAGGGCTCAGAACCCTCTGGTGCCAGGCTCTGACCGTCCTCGTGCCCAGCACGTACACAGCAGGACCACAAACCCATAGAATGGCTCAGAACCCTCTGGTGCCAGGCTGTGCAGGGCTCAGAACCCTCTGGTGCCAGGCTCTGACCGTCCTCGTGCCCAGCACGTACACAGCAGGATCACAAACACATAGAATGGTTGGAAGGGACCTCAAAGCCCATCCAGTGCCACCCTGCCATGGCAGGGACACCTCCACTGTCCCAGGTGCTCCCAGCCCTGCCCAGCCTGGCCTTGGGCACTGCCAGGGATCCAGGGGCAGCCCCAGCTGCTCTGGGCACCTGTGCCAGGGCCTGCCCACCCTCTCAGGGAAGAATTTCCTCCTACATTTAACCTAAATCTCTCCTCTCTGAAGTTTAAAACCACTTCCGTGCCCTATCACTCTCTGCCCATTTAAAATGCCACTCTCCCTCTTTTTTATAAGCCTTTAAGTGCTGAGAAGCCACAGTGCTCATAGGGCTGGTGCCAGTCTGCTCCCCAGACCCACACAGGGAACACGGAGTTTGTGGTGACCCAACCTCCTGACACAAATCCCCGTCTGAGAGCTGATCTTCCCTCGGCTGGGAGCAGGGACTGAGCTCCGGACTCGACCAGCCCTGGGATTCTGAGCACACCGGGGGATCCCCCTCACTGGCCCCATCCTGTTCCTTCATCCCCCCGTGCCCATCTCCCACTGCCTCCTGCCCTGCCGGTGTCCCGGTGTGCCGGTGTCCCGATGTGCCGGTATGGCAGTGTCCCAGTGTGCCAATGTCCCGGTATGGCAGTGTCCTGGTGTCCCAATGTCCCGGTGTCCCGGTGTGCCGGTGTCCCAATGTCCCAATGTCCCAGTATGGCAGTGCCCCGGTGTCCCAATGTCCCAGTATGGCAGTGTCCTGGTGTCCCAATGTCCCGGTGTGCCGGTATGGCAGTGTCCCGGTGCCCCGGTGTCCCAATGTCCCGGTGTCCCGGTATGGCAGTGTCCCGGTGTCCTGATGCCCCAGTATGGCAGTGTCCCGGTGTCCCGGTGCCCCGGTATGGCAGTGTCCCGATGTCCCGATGCCCCGGTGTGGCAGTGTCCCGGTGTCCCGGTGTCCCCATGCCCCGGTATGGCAGTGTCCCGGTGTCCCAATGTCCCGGTGTCCCAATGTCCCGGTGTCCCGATGTCCCGATGCCCCGGTGTGGCAGTGTCCCGGTGTCCCGGTGCCCCGGTGTCCCGATGTGCCGGTATGGCAGTGTCCCGGTGTCCCGGTGTCCCAATGTCCCGGTGCCCCGGTGTGGCAGTGTCCCGATGTCCCGGTGCCCCGGTGTGGCAGTGTCCCGGTGTCCTGGTGTCCCCATGCCCCGGTGTGGCAGTGTCCCGGTGTCCCGGTGCCCCGATGTGCCGGTATGGCAGTGTCCCGGTGTCCCGGTGTCCCGGTGTCCCAATGTCCCGGTGTCCCCGTGCAGTACCGGCAGCCGGCGGCCGGGGGCTCCCGAGCCGCGCTCAGGCCCCCGAGCTCCCGGCCCGGGCGGGGGAAGCGGCTCACGGTACCAGCCCGGCCCGGGGCATCTCCCGAGCCCGCGGCGCCTCCAGCCGCTGCCCCGGGGCCATCCAGAGCCCGGTGCCTCCCCCGGAGCGGGATCCGCTCTCGGCCCGAGGGACAAAGCCCGGGAACACCCGCGGCTGCCGCCGGGCCCGGGGGGAACCCAGCACCGCCGCAGCTCCGGCTGCCCCGCCCCGAGCAGGGATGCCCCAAGGGATGCCCCAAGGGATGCTCTAAGGGATGCCCCAAGGGATGCCCCAGGGGATGCCCCAGGGGATGCTCTAAGGGATGCCCCAAGGGATGCCCCAGGGGATGCCCCAGGGGATGCTCTAAGGGATGCCCCAAGGGATGCCCCAGGGGATGCCCCAGGGGATGCTCTAAGGGATGCCCCAAGGGATGCTCTAAGGGATGCCCCAGGGGATGCCCCAAGGGATGCCCCAAGGGATGCCCCAGGGGATGCCCCAGGGGATGCCCCAAGGGATGCCCCAGGGGATGCTCTAAGGGATGCCCCAAGGGATGCTCCAAGGGATGCCCCAAGGGATGCTCTAAGGGATGCCCCAAGGGATGCTCCAAGGGATGCCCCAAGGGATGCTCTAAGGGATGCCCCAAGAGATGCCCCAAGAGATGCCCCAGGGGATGCCCCAGGGGATGCTCCAAGGGATGCCCCAAGGGATGCCCCATGGGATGCCCCAAGGGATGCCCCAAGGGATGCCCCATGGGATGCCCCAAGGGATGCCCCAGGGGATGCCCCAGGGGATGCCCCAAGGGATGCCCCAGGGGATGCCCCAAGGGATGCCCCATGGGATGCCCCATGGGATGCCCCAAGGGATGCTCTAAGGGATGCCCCAAGAGATGCCCCAAGAGATGCCCCAGGGGATGCCCCAAGGGATGCCCCAGGGGATGCCCCAGGGGATGCTCTAAGGGATGCCCCAGGGGATGCCCCAAGGGATGCCCCAAGGGATGCCCCAGGGGATGCTCTAAGGGATGCCCCAAGGGATGCTCTAAGGGATGCCCCAGGGGATGCCCCAAGGGATGCCCCAAGGGATGCCCCAGGGGATGCCCCAAGGGATGCCCCAGGGGATGCTCTAAGGGATGCCCCAGGGGATGCTCCAAGGGATGCCCCAGGGGATGCCCCAGGGGATGCCCCAGGGGATGCCCCAAGGGATGCTCTAAGGGATGCCCCAGGGGATGCTCCAAGGGATGCCCCAGGGGATGCCCCAAGGGATGCCCCAAGGGATGCTCCAAGGGATGCTCCAGGGGATGCCCCAAGGGATGCCCCAGGGGATGCCCCATGGGATGCCCCATGGGATGCCCCGGAGACCCACAGCACTCACTGGAACCTCACCATCCGCTCCTGGCCCTGATACGGGCCCTGGGCTGAGGGATGTGTTATAAATGATCGAACTATATCTTACAGACGCTTCCATGTCCCAGGCCAGACAGGTGAGAGGATCCTCCCCGCTCTGGGTGCAGTTTTAACGCCACAGACACACCGAACCTAAACCAGCCCCTGCTCCCCGGCCCGGGAGCCATCTCCAGCTCACCTCTTCCAAGGAAACCCCAAACTGTCGCATTTTGCTTGTCCTGGAGCC